CCTGACCTTAAAAACCTCTAGGAAGGAGATTCCACCACCTCCCTAGGTAACCCATTCCAGTGCTTCACCACCCAGACATAGCTAATGGAATGAGCTAGATTCTGTTCCTCCTTGTGCATTATTACCAAAATTATATACCAATATAATTCCAAACAGTTACACCTGTGTAACCCCAGTGAAAGCAGTAAAAGTCCACAGAGGTAGTTGATAGCCCAATTTGAAGATGAGGTGTAGTTAGCACAGGATCAAATGGATCTAATTTTGCTGCAGAACATATTACAGGTGGTGACATTCTCAAAATAAAAAAATCTAACTTGGTTCCATGTTGAGATTGCAGGATTGGCACTCACAAAACTAACTTGTAAACTAAGCACATTCAAGTGCTTAGTATACAATGATTCTTATGGAATTGGTTTTGTAGGGTGGAACCATACTTAAAGCAAATTTAAATGGGTTAGATGGGGAGTTTCTTATGTTTGTAATAGAGACTTTTGAACAGAGAGTTCTGATATTGTAAAGTTTCATAATGTCCTCTTGTATATGAAGACGAGGTTTTATGATTAGATATGAGCGAAGGTTGACTCAGAGGCTTCTGATTTAAGTCACAGAGATGTCAGATACTAAGTATTGTATAATACCGACTTTGATCTGTGAACAGTTAACTTAAGATCATTTTGACTTGAAAATACAAACAGCAACAAGCTGGAAGTGTAGGAGATTTCAAGCAGTTATGTTTGTTCTCAACTATTTACTGAGTTTGTCAGCACTAAATGAATTTTCTGAAGCTATGTTGAATTGTTGCAGGAAGATGGTCTATCAATCCCATTGGTCTTTTCCTGTGAAATAAATCCTTCCCTGAAAGCCGTGTAGTAAATTAAAAATATCTGTCTTAGACCTTTTGGGACACTTGATCTTAAGGATATTATTTTTCACTTCTTTAGAATCTTGAGTTTTTGTGCTGCCAGTGAAAAATCACTAGCATCATAATAGATTTTTTTCCCTTTGTAAGTAGATACAATGATGACGGTATTTGCTATCATACATATAATGCTGGTATAACTTCAAGTATTTGCAAAGGCATTTCTAAAGGTTTTAGTGGTGACCACTGTATAAGCATAACTTCAGTACGGGATAGCATGTAAACATGCCACTCAACATGTAGTTAAACTCTTCAAAAAATATGTTGATCTCATGTGAGTTGGAAAGTTTGTTTAAATTATGAATTATTGTTTAAACAAAGGAACATGTTAGTAAATTTGTATTCCTGTTTTGTTTCCAGTGGAAGTATAAACATTAACTTCTCTCTTTTGTAGTTGTCTATCATCATGGAAACAGTGCAACTGGTGGCCATTACACTACAGACGTCTTCCAAATTGGTCTTAATGGCTGGTTACGCATTGATGACCAGGCAGTCAAGGTGATAAATCAGTACCAGGTGGTGAAGCCGTCTGCTGAACGCACAGCCTACCTCCTGTACTATCGCCGAGTTGACCTGCTGTGAAACTTCCCTCTTTATGCTGTGTGTGCAAGATACCTGCTTTGTAGAACGCCAACTATCACTAACTTTTTTCCTCCTTTAAATGCTCTTTTGAGTGAATCCTTTTTTCCCTTGCAACTATGGGCTAGAGTGAAAAAGGAAACTACCTTGGGGGTTGTGCACAACATAGTTTGTGTGTTGACTTTTGACTTTCCAGAATGAAGTCATTTGGTTGAAAGACTCAGTCTCACGAATCACAAAAAGATAAAATATTTCTGAGTTAATGCTGAATCCTAAGATGATAAAAGGGTTTGCATTTGATTCCCACTTTCGAATTGCATAGTAGAAGAAAACCCTGCACCAGCAACAAAACTTGTAGATTTCTGTGAAAATAAGTTTTATCTTTACTTAAATAAAAAAATTAAAAAAAAACCCTACTCTGCTCCCCCAGTAGTTTTTGATAAATGGTAAAACATGAGCCAGTGTGTATCAGGAGACAATGGTTCTATGTGCATCAAAACAATGTACAAAAGTACAAAATGCAGAGTTGCTGGTTCCTAATAGGAAAAAAACCACATTTTAATAATTGTGCGATGAGAAACTGCTTAAGTACACATTGCAGATCAAATATTTGGAGTTAAAATGTTAGTCTATATAGATGGGTGATTGTAACTTTATTGCTATTAAGAGATTTCAAACTGCATTTATGCTTCTGTGTACACAAGATTTTAAAAAATGGGCAAAATAATGAAGATTGATATTTCTTTAAGTCTGCTTTGTTTCTGCTGTACGGCACAGCAGTATGGTGTGATGGCGCTGAGCCTGCCCCCCCTGCAGGGTAAGTTGCCCCCCCACCTGTGGGGCCAGAGCCACTCCCACCCTCGCTGGCAGGACAGACTGGGCCAGGGCCTGGGCACTGTCACCTGTCGCTGGGCCCAGAGCCCG